CCCCCCTCACGCGCCCAGCTAATCGGAGTAATGGCGCGTTTGTGGCGTTTACTGTAAGCCGGCTGCACGGCGCGGCGGTGGCCACGGCCGAGCGCGCCGGTGCCGCACACGACCACCACCACGGAGCCCTAAAGCTCTGTTGTTGTTCAGAGGTGATGTGATGATAGTGTGTGGGGCTGCGCGCCCTGCGCGCGCGCCTTACAATGGGGGTGTCCCCTTTGTCCAAGGCGGTGAGAAAAACGAGAAAACAAACTCTGAGGCGCACACACCTTAGCACCTTTGCTCGCCCTTTCCTCCTCCTCCCACCCCGACGGCCCTGTCCTGTCCGCCCCGACTCACCGCGCACCCCTTATTACACTTGTCATCCTTCTGCCTGCCCCCTTCAACTATACGCCGTGCCGTGCATCCCTCGTCGACCCATCGTTTTATAGACTCTTTCATCTTCTCGTGCGTCGGAAAAGCTTGCTCGACGCCGTTTTCAGGCTCAACACCAACCAAACCGAGGCCCACTATCATGGTAGGTACTCACCGTCGTGGATCCATACGTCGTGCGCGTGCCGCAGCTCGTGGAACATGTTGCCTGGCGACAGAACGGGCACAAAGAGGCGTCACAAAGTGCGGCAGCAACACAAGTAGTGAAAGTAGTTCGGTCTCACAAAATGAGCGCAACACGGATTATCATGGGAAATAAAAACAGTCGAAAATAACTTGGGCCGCGCGCGCGCGCGCCCTCAACGCGACGATTACGGGCGAAATTAATTTTAATATCACGGGGTCCCGGGGGCTGCAGAGGCGCCGGCGGCGGCGGCGGCGGCCGAGACAGGCTGAGGCTGATTAAGGCCGAGACTAATGAAAGTAAATATTTACAATATCGATTAATCGGCCGACCTGGCGCATAGCAGACGACGCGCGCGGAGCAGCCAGGGAATGAAGAGATTAACCCCGAGGTGAGCCCGGCCCGGGCCTGGCCCCGGGTGTAATGAAGACTAATGACTGAAGGCGACAACGGCAAAGGCTTGCACGGCTGCAGCCGCACCGCACCCGCTGTGAGGTGAGGCGACCCGCCGCCGCCCGACGGGCCCAGGGTAGGCCACCCGGTCAGCGCGGCGCCTGGGCCGGTGGCCTACTCTGCCCCTGCAGCGCCCTGCCCGCGCCCTGCCTGCCCTCGTCGCCCTTATTCCCGCGACCGCGCGACGCTCTCCGGGACCGGAAATGACTCGTCGCCGACCGGAAGAGAGATCCGGCGAGGCTCGAGCCTCGCTGCAAACCGCCCCTCTCTGGTTGTCTGTCTCTTTCTCTCTCTCTTTCTCTTTTCCTTTCTCTCGTTCTGCTCCGCTTCGCTCAGCCCCCACGATGACGGCGGCGGCAGCATGCTTTTCGTTTATTTTATGCCACTTTTGTCTCCAGAAATGCAGCAGCGCGGCCACGGTGACGGCAGTGACGGCATCCACGTACCTCGTGACGCCCGGTCGGAGAGGTGCGCGTCGCTCAGGCCGCGGGGGCGGCCGCCCCACCCGCCGCCACCACCACCACCACGACGATCACTTGCAGCTCGCAGGAGGAGGCGCCTCCGGCCGGTGGGTGTAATCCAACAAGTCGTTCAGGATGAGGGATCCTCGGCTCCGGGCGCCATGTCCTCTTCACTGGCGGGCTCCTCGCGGGTCGACACATCGCGCCACCACCGGCGCCGCGCCCTCCACCATGCTGCGCGTCGTCGACTAAACCGCGCCACTGCCGTGTCGCCTGCGAAACCGCGTCACCGTCGCGTCCCCAGTCCGAAGTGCGTCGTCTGCGACCCGCGGCACGGTATGCGACTGTCCTCCGGGCGTGAAGGCGCGCGGGGAAGATTCGACCTCTCGAGCCGCTGTGCGATGATTGAATACAAGGGAGCTGCCCGTCTCGGTCCGGGGGTGGCTCCCTGCCGCGGCCCCGCAGCCCGCGGCCCGTCCTGGGCCAGGGGCGTGCCGCGGGGCGGGGCGGGCGGTGATGGGGTGGAGTGGGGCGTGTCGAGGCGAAGAGGGTTTTTGTTCGACCGGGAACGGCCGGAGCCTGGGCGAGGTTAGGTGGACCCTGTCCAGACCAAACAGTGTTTTATCCGAGAAGACGTGAAGTGAACGTACGGCGACTACGGAGTACACTTTCTGTGGCAATCTCTGGTCGTCGTCCTGCCGTCTTCGGTGGCCCGGAAGAGCGTATACATCTTGGTGGGTGGTTATGCAGTGTAAAAATAGGGCAAACGAGTTCGATGTTGTTGACGAGTAGCTGTTGACATCGGTAACACCTCCCCGGAGTCGTCCTCGGCGCGCTGGTGAGACGAGGGGAGAGGCGGTGCGGTGCGGGGGAAGCCCCATCCACCCCGGAGCCAATGGAAGCGCGCGGGGAAGCCCCATTGGCTGACGATCAATTGTTTCGGCCGACAGCGCGGGCCAATGCGCGCGCTGAGCCTGCGGGGGTGGAGGGTGGCGCAGGGGGGCTCCCGGATATACTCCGCGCCGCTGCGGAGGGGTAGCGGCCAGTCGCACGGCGCGCACGCTCGTGCGGAACAGACCGGTACCCCACGAACCATGGCCTACTAGCGGCGGGGGTATTGTCACGTCTGGGTTATTTTTCTGTAAGTTTGCCTCGTTATCCTCTGGAACATCCTTTTCTCCTGTCGGACGTTCTGCATTATTCTTGGTTTGTGTCCACTGTCCAAGGCAACCCCTTTAAGGCTTTCATGGTGTGTATTAGTGTGATAATCCTTCCACATTAGAATAGTTTCCAACTAAGCCACTTTATTGCAAGCTTTATTATGTTTTAGATTGGGTAGTCTCAGCTCATCTCATAGCCAAAGGGGAGCAATGAAGTTCCTCAGTTGAAAGTACTTAATATTTATTGGCAACCTCATTCTTACACAAATCACGCTCACATCAGACTTTTATCACCGGGCGATGTTAAGCAGATGCTCACATCCTAGAAAATATTTATCTATAAGATTCCTTTAAGGAACACAACAGCAACACAGCTGACTACTTTCAGTGAGACGCTGTATATCCACTTTGGCACGCTCTATACATTCAAATATCAGCTACTGATATTGAAGTAAAGTAAAGCTATCTGGATATTACAACACAGCACAGTATTAAGCAAGAAATAATTGTATAAATCAGGGAAACAAAAGAACAAAAACAAAAGTGCGTGCCGTTTCATACACGAAAATTCTGTAACAAAAGATAATTTTAATGACATTTACTGAAAATAAAGTAAATGCTGATCGGACACAGGCAATGCTGCGCAGATCTAAGGACTGACATTTTGTCTAAGCTGACAAAATTATTTGTACTTCTATGCAACAAATCAAAACACATTACAGACTGAGAATATAAATAAAGATTCAGCATAACTATTTACATGTTATCATTTGCAAAAAAAAAAAAAAAAAAAAAAAACAACCTCAACTTATTTAAAAATCATGATATTTTAAGTTCATTAACATATTACTAAACAATCTAACATTTCTGATGACAAAGTAGGCCAAGGCATACAATTTTGTTATGTGTAACACAAATTAAAACATGATCTTTAATGAATGAGTTGAGTATTTATGCACCACACCATTCTTATCGCTTGGAGAACAGTATGAAAAATAACTAGACAACACATTCAAAAACTCATATAATAAAAAAAATTAAAACAAAAATAAATTTGTAAAAATAAAGGTAACATTCAAAAGCTGTATACAAAAAGGAAAACATAACGGGTCAGTACAAAAGACACACATGCTTTTACAGTGGTGCGTTTGAGATAAATAATATGATAAAAACCAACAGTCTGTAACCATTGATACAGGATTTGCCACTTGCTTAGTCACAACACAAAAGGATCATTTGGTAAATTTGGTCCCATAGTTCTCATTCGGAAAATAGACAAGATGAATTTTTATAACTACTGACTTCAATCATGATTGTTCCTAGAGAATGGCCAATGTGATCTAATAGTTCCAGAATTTGGACGAGGTTTACTATTTGAGTGTGACCTCTCGCGGAATGTTGGGGATGATGATGATGAGGCACAGGAACTCAAACTTGTTGATGGTGTTAATCCAAATATTTCTTGTACAGTTGGCCGATGATTAGCAAATTCAGATTGAACAGATTCTAAGAAATAGAGAAAAGAAGCGAATGATTAGTTGTTTAATTGATAAAATTGCAATTCCAGTGGCCCATATATGTGCATACCAATTAGTGGTGTTTCATCATAAAGTGACCCTTGACGCAGCTGCCTCACAAAGTTGCGGTTTGAACCTGGAGATTGAATTTCCATTCTCTCTAGGGCTGCTTGCTTCCATCTGTAACATAAAATGAATTATAACATATTGGTGTTTGTTTGTGAACTCATTGTGTTTTCTTTACATGACTAGGACTTACCTTAAATGGTCTTTACTATGCTGCGTTAAGTTTCTTAACCATTTATGTTGCTCATCAGCAGAGCCAGCTTTCATGATGGTAACAGTGTCACAACCATCAACAACATTGGAGACAATTATTTCTCGGGATCCACTTTTACCAGGTTGAATTAAGGTATCCTAACAATTAAAAAATTACATGTAATAACTTCACACTAATTTCAAAGTGAAGGTGCTGATGAAACACTACTTACTCTATCTACAGTAACAGTCTTCACAGGTTTTTTTCCAGCCTCCTTGTCGCCTTGCGATCTCCAAAGCTCAAGGTGGAAAGCTTGCAAGGCTCCATGCACCTGGGACCACACACCCGAAGGCTCTAGGAGCACAGCACTGCCACTGTACGCCTCCCCTGACACACAGTCGGGCTGTGCAGCAAGACGACAGCAAAAGTGGCCAAAGAGAGGTAACTGATGATTTCTTGGTTCTAAAATTACAAAGCAAATGTTAATGTCTAAGAACCATTCTCAATAAATTAAAAATACACAAGTGTAGGGTACTAACCAACATTCTCAAGTTGTAAATCATGAGTGTGTATACTATTGCCAACATCATCTAAGGTAAGGTGAGCTGTAGCCATCAGCTCAAATTTTGGTCCTCTGTAAAAGTCAAAAGTTTTGAATATAAACAAAATAAATTTAAATTTCCTCTTTATACCGAAAAAAACTCACATTCTTCCAGTATTTAGTTCATCTCTCAGTGATGCAGCTAATTTTTTCCCCACAGTGCGACTAATGGATGAATGAATGGATCGCTTAATTTTGTGAGGAGTTGACGCCATGCTCATATCATCCTGCAGAATGTGACCCCAGATCTCCACACGCAGCTCGAAGTCGGTTGGGACGTTATTGCTGAAACAGAACGAAAGCGAAATAAATAAATAAAAACCCACACTATTACGTGACTCAACTCGAGACATACGTTTGTATACTCACAACACGTGCACGTCGGGGTAGGTGAGGTCCGTCAGCGACCTGTCCACGGGGCAGAGCAGGGTGGAGTCCAAGATCTGCGTGCCCACCCGGGTCAGGACGAACACGGCGAAGCGCCGGTAGTCGCCCTTGTTCTTGAAGTGGTCCGAGTCCCTCCACATGAGCGGCATGCGCAGGTCCGACACGGACACGCGGGCGGTGCTGGGCGTGGACTGGCTGCAACCGGAAAGAGCACAGAGGGTGAGTGAGGAGGCGCCGAGGTGTGACGCTGGACCGACCCGTCGTCGTCAGGCCCGCATTTCTATTTCGGTTGGGGGTTTGGTTTGCCGGTTTGGCTTGGATTGACGACCCGAGCCTTCTCTCTAGAAAAGTCCTACAAAATAAATGCCATTGGAAGCTGGAAAACCATAATTGAAAATTACCATGAAACATTTACCAACATGGCAAATATTTTTAAAAAATGAATTATTATTATTTCGGCAACTTGTTTGGAGAAGTTTGTCGGTGCTTTATTGATTGCCCACGGCTGTGAGATCACCCTGGCCAGACCATGACGTCTTGACCGCCCCGCCCCCCGGCAGGTAGGCAATTTTCTATGCAAAACCCGCGGCGGCCGGACCGTAATCCGCCCCCGTGTGCCGTGTCTCGGTCACCACAGTCGGGCGACCCAGCAGCACCCCGACGGAAGAGACGCACGACCGCGTCTATTTCCATCCGCGGCCATCGCGACACGCGTCTTGCTCTTGCTGGTGGAGACAAGGTGGGGAATCCTCCTCGCGGCCGCGCCATTCGAACGCAGCCGTATCCGTCGTCGGCGAGGAGCCGGCATAAAACCCCAGGGCCCAAACACGGGGAGTGCACCGCCGCCGCGCCGGCGGCGTCCTGGTTCGCATTTAATAACGGTGGCCTACTTTGAGGACCAGCGGAGAGCCGCTCCGCCCCTCTCCCCTCCTTTCCCAACCCCTCGTCGTTCCACCCACACGCTTTACCTCAGCGTCCTGGTGGGCGCCCGCCGGCGACGCTGCAGCTCCGCCATGTACGCCGACATGCGCTCGTTGGAGGTGTGCAGCGACTTGGCCGCCTCCAGGGTCTGCGTCTGGTGGCGGCACGCGGCCAGCAGGCGGGTGGTGCCCTCCCGCATCCGGATCTCCACGTCGATCTTCTGCTCCAGGTCCAGCTCCTGCAACAGGCAACGGCGGTCGGGTGAGCCCAGTAAGCACGTCAACGACCTCGCGGCCACCCCCGGGTCCGGGGTGTTCAAGTTTTTACTCAAAAAAATAATCTAAAAAAATCAATGCATAGCCTTAAAAGAAAGAATCAGACATTCATTCTGCAGACATAAATACCGCCGCTTCAAGATCACACGCTTTGCCATGACTGACGACAGCATGTCGCTGGTGGTGGTGGCCGAAGTATCATTACGTCGACATGAGGCCGGACAACGCGAGACAAACCTCGTGTATGGTCGTGCGGAAACAGGGCGTCCCCGAACACTACACCGCAAAAAAGGAAAACACGAAGAGCGATAGAACCAGTCTCGCCAGACGGACGTCGGCGTCGGGTGCGACCCTCGGAAGGTGTCATCGAAAGCGTCACTCCACTACACCGAGTACAGAGAGCCAATACAAAAACTAGGACAAAATAACGAGGAGTCTACACAACGAAAGTATAGATCAGCGATCGGATCGGTGACCATTTAGCGACGCCCCCCGACACAGACAAGCGTCGGCAAGGTGCGCCATGTCGGCCACGCGACGCCACAGGGTCGTACACGCGCCGCAGCGTGCGCCAAAGTGTCAATACCAGAGCAGAGACAAGTTCCACACCCGCAGAGAAGAGAGAGCGAGCGTTAACCCTATTTGAAGTTGGAGAGACGACAAACACAACTCGCCGCGGATATTTCGGGGCAAAAAGCCGAAAACCTCTGCACTTTCACCTTCCTTGCAGAAAAACCACCGCAACTCCACCGCAGCAGCTGCAGCAGGGCGTCATAGAGGGACAAGAAAGAGACCTCATCCCGAGACACCTCTCTCCAGATCTAGGTCCCTGCCTCTCCGGACTCACCGGGGTCAGGGGCCAGTGCACGGGGAAGGGGTTGTCTCCCCTCATGGTGCAGCAGCCGTCCCGGACACGCCTCGGCAGCCGCATGTGTGTGCAGTGCTGTGCTGGACTCGGCCTCCTCCGGTCCACTTCGCGCGGCACACTGTGGGGGCCGCGACGCGCCGGCCAGCCCCGCGAGCAACAGCAAACTTGATGGCGCGGCAATTTTTCGGGGCATCACCTGATGCACGGCGCTCCGCTCCACGCCCGCGCCACCACGCGCCACGCCGCGCCACGCCGCGCCACGCCACGCGCAGCTCCGCATCGGCGCTCGGCTTACCTTCAGGTTGTGCGCGATCTGGCGGATATAGTACAGGTCCAGGTCCTGGAGGATGTTGATCTTGCCCATGGACTCGACGTCGTCGGTGGTGGCCGACATGACCTGGCCGGAGGGCGAGTTGGGCGCCGCCTGCGGGCCCTGCTGCGGGGCGCCGACGACGCCGCCGAGCGCCGCCCTGAGGCCGGGCCGCGGGCCGGGCAGGCCCTTGGGCGCCCCCTTGCCGAGCCCCTTGTTTCCCCCGAGGCTCAGCGCCGCCAGTGGCGGGAAGCACGAGTCCATGGCGGCGGCGGCGGCGGCGGCGGCGGCGGCGATGGTCGCGGCGAGCTGGCTGATCCTGATGAGTCACCGACCCACCGCCTCACGGCGGCATCGGCTGCAAAGAGCAAGGCGACGTCGTTGGAGCGGGCGGCGGCGACGGCGAGGTGGACAGCGGCAGAGAGTGGACAGTGTGTGGTGTAGTGCAGCGTGGACAGCAAGTGGGCGGACGGCAGCAGAAGTGTGGCCCGAGTGTAACCGTCTACGACCCGCCGCGCAACTTGTCGGCGAACATGTGTGATAAGGATCCGGCCGACGCTGACGGCGGATTCTGCGTGGGCGTCGCGGCGGAAAGGTAAACGAATCCTGGCGATAACGGAGAGGAAAAGCCTTCAGTGAGCTGCGGTGAGCAGCCGGCGGGTCGACCCCTCGAAGCTGCAGCGTGAGCGATGATCGCGAGAAGCGCAGCGCGAGCAAGGTTAGGTTTCGGGGAAGCCGTCGACCCGATCGGCCGCCCCCCCCCCCCTCTCCTCGTACCGGCTCCAGCAAGATCCCAGAGTAGCGCTGTGCCAGGACCCCCCGGGGCCCCATGCACAGCCTCCCGCCGCCACCGTGTCCGCCCCCGCCGCGGCCGCGGAGGAGGCATTGTCGGCACGGCGGCGGCCGCCAGGTCGCGACCAGGCCCTCGGCGGGAACGTTTGAATTGACTTTCAGAAAACGTCCGGCTCGACAGCGACAGCGCTACAGCCAAGCCGACGAGACGGACTGGCGCATTACTACTTGATTGGGTGGGGTGGGGTTGGGTGGAGCAGGGTGGGGCCTAAGGCGCTGCCCCCCCCCCCCTCTCCTCGCTCCCACATCGGTGCGCAGTCCAATAATACAAAGTCTGCATGGCGAATGCCTCTCTCGGCCGGGCCGGGACCGGGACGGGCCAACAGGGTGTCGAACCCGACCCCGGCGGCGGCCGCGGCAAGAGACGGAGCGAATCGATGAATGGCGAGCGAATCAATCGAGATATATGTATATCGATATGCCGAGTCTGGAACAAACGGACTCGCCTCGCGGGAGCCGGCCGGGGCCAATGGTCCAATGGTACACAGTGCGTATACTACACACCACCCTCTGGCCTGGGCGGAGCGGCGGTCTCTAACAACCCTCGCCAACTCCCGGACTGTGTCCGGTTTGTAGCTGCGCGTGACGTCACTGGAGCAGCGGACCGTATTACCAACTGTGACCTACGAAATTTCGGCTCGACGGTAGGGATATTTCTCCTCGAGGTTCTTTTACTACAGAATGTTGGTTCGTCTTGAAGGGCGGCCAGGACAAAAGTACAATTGAGAACTCAGTATATTTTGGAAAGATTAGATTATTATTATTTCTAGCAGAAAACATGAAAGTACACATTGAAAATAAATCATTGGAAGAATACATAAAAGTACATATTGACAATATATCACAATATATCATTGGAAAAAAGCATAATTGTACATGCTGACAATAAATAATATTGCAATTACATAAAGAAAATAGATTACACAATTCCATGTGGGTTCAGAACAGTATGAAAAGTACAACTACACATTATGTATCTTTAAAGCCATCTATTATTCTTGTGCATAGATCCAATTTGTTTCCACTCAGTTTCAAACCATTCCGCCTGAGGATATCTTTGAGAAAAGGAATTGTGAGTGTGTCGAGCTGTGGAATTTAAAGTGAAGATGTTAGATTATTATTGCCCATCATACCCTTTATAAAATAAAATTTTTTGAATAAATTTACCTGATTTAAACTAATTAGCTGACGGACAGTGGAGTCGTCAGGCACCTTCCTGACATCTGCCTGAGGAACGTTTTTCTATAAGGGGCAAAAGAAACAAATTAGTGAGTTCAGTGCTCTATGAAAAAAGCTACATAAATTACAAATAATATTCACTAAAGTGTCACTCACCATTATTTTTTGTGGTGTCACTGGGCCAGTCCTACTGGTTGTTGGTGTAGCTGGCAGCTGCCATGCTGCCCTCACCTTCTCTCTTGCCTCCTGTCTAGGGGTAAGGGGCCCAAGTGTAGGCATCTCCTGTCTTGATTTAGTCATGCTATTTTTTGGTGTTTCTAGGTCCTGCCAAGCTGTCCCCAGATTCACAGTTGTCTCCTGTCTAGGGGTACGGAAACCAGGTGAAGCTCTGGGTACAGATGTGGACATCTGAACAAAAATTAAAAAAGACAAAGTCCTTAATTTGAGGAATTTATAAACAAAAACAGCTTTGTGACAGTTCTTTTGTGACAAACCTTTGTTTGAATTTGCTTCCCAGTTGGAGTTGATGGTACAGCAGTAGTTGGGACAGGATCTGAAATCAAAAAGCAGACTTCAGGAAAGCTTTCAGTTTTCTAGACTGTATCTACTTCAGTGACATAAATATATACTACACTAACAATAAAGATGACCCACTAATCCAAATCAAATCCAAAATATGGCCTCAGAGGCAAGATGACATGCAGACGTAAATTCTACTATTCATGCAAAGGACAAATAACATTAAGACTTATATGAAAATATGATGAATGTTGAGTTCCCACGATGCAGTCCAAATCCAGATGATCTCCGACATAAATAGCATTCAGCATATCCCATATCTGAACTAAAACAAAGAGACATGGGAGAGAATTATGAATATGAAATGAAACTCCAAAGCTGAAAACTGAAACAGTGATTAATAGGAACTGTGACAATTAGTGGTGAGACATGGTAGAAAAACCTGCAGGACAAGTAGGACATTTAAAAAACCTTACACCACATGACAGAGCAACATGTTAGATGAGAGCTGTTCACCTACATCACATATAACATATAACACTAGCAACCAAATTAATGAAGACTGAAAATTAACCAATAGACCGAATATTTCCACCCAAAATGAGAAATTTAAAAAGCGGAATGCTGAATGACCTTGGTTTGGTGCACCAATTAGCAGCTGGAGGTCATGTGGGCACAATTCTGACTCTTCCTCATATGGATAAAGGCCATGGTTATTTTTAAAGCTCAGAGCTTGTCTGGTGCGTCTACTGACACCATCCCTTATTTGCTGGTTACAGCTTCTACATTTCAATGTAATAAGTTGGTTGACTACTTGGTTTAAAATATGATCCCAGCAAATAGGATTTTGATGGTCATCACAGAAGACAGAGCTCCAATTGACAGACTTGCCACAAAATTCTTTCACAGAAGCTTGAACAGATTGTTGATTCAACAATTTCTTCCAACAATTTTCAAAAATGTTTTGAATATTGACAAAAAGAGAGACAAGTTTTTGAGACGGATACAATTCGAATGCAGTGGTCAAATTGCAAAATAAGGTGTCCCTGCTTCTGTTTGGTGTAGTGAGGAGGGCTAGGCAAGAGTCACATTTGATGGAGGAAGAGATTGAAGGGAGTATCGACGACCATAGCCGAGTGGGGCCTTGACGGTGAACAGGATTGTTGACCGCCGACCGGACACGACGGCCAAAGTTGGCAGGAGTATCACCCCGGACCAAGGAATCTTCAGTGGGAGGCATGGGTATACCAGAATCAATCCCTTTTTGTACCAGACATTCACTCAGATCACTTATAAAATACGACCCATCTTCAAGGCAGTTTTTTTGGGAAGTTACCAGTTTGGAAAACCGACTGATGAGGCAAGTCTTCACAGCACCTATAAATTGGCTGCAAGTAAGGTCTGATGAACTGCCACAGCACTGGCGCACCAGGCAGAAAAAATTCTCTACAGCATCTTGGTTTAGGTTTCGGAGTTTGAGGACCTTGAGTAGAGGCTTGGAGCCATTAAAAACCTTCTTGCATAAAATTTTGTAAGACTTCAAATTCTCCATCCAGCCAATAACGCAAAATGGAACATGCCTGGTCCTATCAACAGTTTTGCGGATAAAGGTCCATTTCTGGAGGCTCGAATACATTTTCTCCCACTCAGCATGATGAAACGAATCAGGAGTTACATTGGCTCGCTGATGGGGTTTCTCCTTCTCTGTATGTTTGGACCCTCTTGGACCATTACATATATCAAAATAAAAGTCCACATCATGGCACAAGTCTGCAAAGTCCATGCAATCTGATAATTTGTTGCCATCACTACACTTGTACAGAGCATGCATGAACTTTGAGACTGAGGCACTTAGCACTTGAGCAGCAAGAGAAACTCTCATTTTGTCCCTACCTTGATGGTTCAAATGCTTCAATGTGAGACTAGACATGCTGCACAAAGACTCATCAAGGTGAAAAAAATTAATCAAATGGCGCCACCTGGCAAGTTTTCCTGGTCCAAATTCCAAATTGCTAGTAAGCAAATTATTGCGAATGTTTTTGAGAATATGTGGAACATCCCATAAATGAATTAGAAACTTGCCATCAATTTTGTACATAATGGAGTCACCACATTCCCTCCGCAACTCAGAAATAGCACCCCTATTGGTGGGACCCTGGTCAGAAACAGTACCCAAGACATTCAGGCCTACAGAAGTGACAGCTCTTACCACATCTTGAATAAGCAACTTGAGCATTGTGGAGGGACATGTTTTGCTTACAAAATAAAAAGCCACAGGCTGGGTCCACTTGCTGTGAATTCCCTGTACCATGAATACTAAGGCATGGTCAGCCACAAGATTAGTTCTTCCACGTTGCCCAAAATTCTCAAAGCCATCTACAATGTCTTTAGAAGAATTAAGAAAAAGACGTCCTCTGAGAAATATTTCATCAAAGAGAAGTACAACATGTTTGTCATTCTCCTTCATGGCTTGTACCTTCTTTCTTAATAACTTCATAAAAGGCTCTGATATGCCAGGCTGTAAGTCTACTTCTTTTAAAAGAAGTTTCAATGTAGACACACTAGGAAGACACAGGTGCAAGCGCAAGAACCGGTACACAGCTGGGCTGCGCTTGTATACAGCAACCCAAAGTAATTTGTCTTTCAGTGTCCAGCGATGACCTTTGGACTTTTTCTTCAAGTTTTTCATTTCACCCTTGACAATTACCTTGGCTGCTGGAGACAGAGCGATTTCCTCAACCATGTCAAGGAATTTCCTCTTCAGTATCTTCTTTAGATTTTTCTTAGAGCGCTGGGCAATTGTCAGCTTTGTGCGGAAAGTTATTGCCATTTGCCTGTATTCCAGAGCAGTCTTAGCAATGCGACTACATTTGGGGCTAAGCTGGTTCACTCCAGACAATGCTGCAATTTTAGCTCTGGACATCCTCCTAGATCCATCTCTTTCCCTGGCACCAAGTAATTCCAAGGAACCTGAGTGCAAACAAAAATAATTTTCATATTTATCAAGGGGTAGACCACTTGAATATTCCATGTACACACTAGAAAAATATTCCAACCATTTCCCAGATGTTTCAAAAATCTGAGTGGTCGACCCCTCAATATTTATTTAAAGTAGTTTGTGTATCAACAATTGAATGCAACTTACGTCTGGGAGTTGCTGGAGGCGGAATGTCCAGATGTGGATTTTTGGAGTCGCTCTTCATATCCTCTATCTTTATTGGAGACTCCTCCAGCTCTGCTCTGGACCTCTTCCCTGCAAAAATGATAAATATATGTGACCTCCCAGTATGATGTAAATGCTTCATAGTAGATAATATACATACTTCCTGGAGTGACAGGCTGTTCAGGGACAGAGGACTGCAGAGGGGGAGGCTCATCAACATCAACCACATCAGCAACATCAACTTCCATTGAGACCTCTCCATTGAAGAAGAAGACTGTAGTGAAACGGTATTTTATGATAAGAAACAATGCATTACACTGCCACAATTGATTGGTTTTGAAAATATTTACCATTGCCTGGCACACCAAACCGCAACATCTGCTCATCCGTGAGGGGAGGGTGATCAAAAATAGTGGGCACAGCAAACCCTGGTCTTAATTTTGTGCGGAATTTATCCCAGAACATGTGAGGCTCAAAGTGTCGAGGACAGAGCTGAAAGTTCTGATGAATTTGTAGACGGGTTAGGCCTAACAAATCAACATTACCAGAAGCTTGTCCCCACAGCTTTTGTCTAAATTAGAAAGAGGAATGTCATTGAATAATGCTAACATAAAATGTGAAAGGTTTATATGGTCTTACCTTGCCTCATCCAATGGAAATCCACACATGCTCTGACCATCACCCGACACCTTATAGGTAGAGCAGCCCTTGGCTGCACAATACCGCTTTTTAGGAGCCATGGTCAAACCCCTTCATTGATATTTTAAAATATAATCAAACAATTTGCCGGAAAAGACGGTCCAGCCCGGCAGCTGATAGCAGAAGTAACTGGCTGCTTGTTTACACAGGGCTGCTTATTGGAACCGAAATTCTGATCTTTCGGAATAAACTATTAAAGAACTGTCACTCACAAAATATATACGTAAAACTCCAATTAGAATTTGCTTTTTAGGAAAAAATTGCTAGGATCCCGAAAACGTCTACGGTCTTTGGAAATATGGTAGCAAATAATGGGCGTTTGATGGCACCATCAGGTTGGTCATACGGTCCGCTGCCTGAGGCGGGGGGTAAGGGACGAGGCTCGTACCATACCGGATACACTACGGGAGTTGGCGAGGGTTGGTCTCTAAGCAACTAACCGAGGAGGGTTGGGGAGGACTAGGCACCCGGGCCAGATATACTCTTAATTATACACACGTTACTGGGAGGGCGGAAGGGTGGAGCGGAAGGGGAGGGGGAGGGCTGCCTCGTCGCGTGCCACAAATCCACTGCTCGGGGTGTACGGCGCTGGAGGGGAGCAGAAGCAGCTCGGGGTGGTTCCCCCGCGCGAGCGTGACGTGAGCACACACAGACACACACCACTTGATTCGGAGCGTCCGTCGCGTCGCACACAAAAAGCTTCATCATTTTCGGCAGAGTAGTCCCGAGCCACCAAAGGCGCACGTGCGCGCTCCATGTGTGGCGCTTTGTCGAGGGCAGGGCCCGGGCAGGGCGGCCCAAACTACACCGTCAAAAACCGAAACGAGCATGGCTGACAAGACAGGTCAGAGCGCCAAGCTAAAGGCCGCGCCGACCACTTCCCACATTTAAATTCTTTTTCCCAACGGTAAACCAGGAAATTGAAATTTCCCTCTCTTTTTATCGGAAGAGTATATTGTGCGTATGTGCAAGCAATGCCGTGAGGCCGGCCGGCCTAGGGGCAGACTGTGGCAGCATAGACAATAGGCACCGCACTCAATCGGGAGGGGAAAGGTGGAGGGGGAGTGGGAG